GGGGGGGGGAGGGGGGACTTACAGCCATGTAGAAGTAGTCTTATTTATAAAGGATCCTCTAGGAAAATCTTCTTTAGAAAAATTGACGAGAATGCTGTGAAGTTAAAAAATAAATAATTACTGTTATTACAATGACAGACTCAGCGATACATACGTGTTGAGATTTCGCTTAAGCTCACTGATCATGACGTATATTTTGTTCAGTGGTTTTCATTGCCGCCATCTTAGTCGAAACTAACCGTCATTAATCTGTTTTGTATTCAAGGATGATGTTAGTATTTTATTCTCATCGCTCCCACTGAACCCATGCTTTGAGAATGGGATAAAACCTGGCGAGGCTCTCCAAAGAGCCAAAATAGCACAAGGGAGGAAAGAGTGGGAAATTAAAAGTAAATTAGGATCGAGAGCAACCGCAGGTCGGGGTAAGTACAGCGAGGCAGCTTAAATATTTCAAGCGTCCATGGATGCCACAAGATCTTAGCAGATTTGATTCGAATCATGTGACTAATATGCTAATCGATTCTTATACATTCGCACCATGAGACCGCTGAGAATAACAAGCAATATTTCATTTTTCAAAGTGAACAAAATGAGCAATGTACTGTCGATTTTATTAAGCAATATGTGGGACACCATGCATGACAGTCACGCACGCTCATCAGATATGTGTAAGATTTTTGTATACATTTATACAAATATCATATTTATTCAGTATATTTAATGATATGCAAAACAGCAAAATCCCTTTATTTATTGCTTGTTTCATTCAATGACGGTCAAAATATTTTTTTCTTGTCTATTAGATCGTACAGATTATAAATCAGTTGGTTTTAAGCGTCGAAAATGGTTAGTTTGTATTATGCATCTCATTTGATATTTGTATAAACGTATAAACATATACTAAAACGTTTCTGCAATCGAATGTATATATATATATATGTAATATATACAGTATGAGCGGCCGTACTGTATGGGTAATTACAATCACGAGCCGAAGGCGAGTGATTGTAAATCCCATACAGTACGGACGCGAATATTGTATCTCACTTGTGAAATGAATTAATATAATTCATGTATTTTAACAATAGACTGCACTCAAGAGAATATTAGATCAGTACTTTTTAAATGAATTGATGACTAGAACGGCCCGATAAGTATTTTTACTTAGAATAATAATGATAGCGATTGTTAATAAAGTGTCAATTGTTATTGCTTCCCAAAAGATCTGATAATGATATTGGTCAGCAATACAGTCATTTCATCTACAAGTTCAGTCTGAAGGTTCTCAAGTCATGGCTAGCTCTGCTTTGATTCTCAAAAAAGTTTGGCAAAAGAATGTAGAATCCTTGAAGATTCAATTCCAAAAAACACTGTTTATAACACGAAGTGGGTGGGCGTTTTTGAAGAATGCCAATCGGTTAGAAAGAATAAAGATCCTAAAAATGAAGTTCTTGGTTATGGCGAAGTTGATTTAACAAGTGTTCGACATTTGTCATGCGGGATCGTAGAAATGTATGAAGAGACGCTAAACGTCTGGCTGACGAAATTCCATTGGCGAGGCGAGAAACCAAAACGGTGGTCGGTATCCTCCAAAAACTCTGTACCTCCTGGTGTGCGGACTGAATCGACATTTAAAAGAGACACAAAGGAACAACTACTTTAATGTTCTGGATAAAGGCGATCGAAGGTACAATAATTTTAATTATTTTGCTTTCGAAACAGTTTGAATTACATATTCTTTAGCCCAAAACATATCAGTAAAAGAAATTGTTTGATTCCAGATTGATGATATTTCGCAAGGCACTTGATGTCGAAATGAAAGATGCTTCAAAGTGTGGAGTTACCCAAAAGTCCTCAAAAGATAAACGAGAAGAAATTACCAAAGCTGAGGAGGCTGTACTTTGGAAAAAGGGTCTACTTGGCGCTACATACCATATTGCTACATACTATATACTTCTATAATGGAAAACTTTTCGGTCTGCGTGCAGGCGAACATAGGCTATTGTGAGTTTGCAATATAGTTATCAAAGAGAATTATATAATATTTGATGAGAGCGTTTCTAAAACCTTTTGATGGAGGTTTAAGAGATTTGAACAAAACACCAAGTTACATCAAGCACATGTCATAATCTTGGTTTTGCTCATAAAATGTGTTTGCAATCTATGTATTCAAAAGTATTCAAACTTTCACTCTCGTGAGTAAACTTGTTTTGCATAAAACTGCAAAGCTTTTAATAGCTTGAGCCAAAAGAGAAAGAGAAAAATAAAATAAAAAGTAACCACAAAGAATCACTAAGTTATCAGAGGAGAAGTGGAAGAATATGCCTCTCTTAAGTAAGAATAACTTCTGTTTATCTAGAGACTATATTCAGCCTGTTCATCAACTGAGATTTGACTGCGTTGAGGCTCAATAACAATAACACGGTAGACTAAGAATAAAGCAAAATATCCTGTCTAGAGTCACAAGTCATATTATCGACTGTTTTGGTTTTGGTGTCCTCGGAGTGATTGATTGTTTTAGAAGGGCACATATAAATAAGCGAAGAACGAGTTCAGAATTGAGTTCAGCTCAACTGAAACTTCCAAGAAGAGCGATTTCAGAACTGATTTTAAACTCAGCCAATTGCGAAACTTCCCATGTTTCACTTTACATCAATAAAACCGTTTACAATATGGTATTTTCTTCTAATATTGTAGAGGTATTAAAAAGTGAACACATATTTCCCGCATCTTCACTTAAGCGCTGTTCATAAACAACACTCGATGGTAGGCCAGCCAACGCTTTGGTACTTAGCTTTGAATATATATAATATATATATACTCCGGATCGCTAAAACTTTGACATAAGTTATGGACCGAGTTTTTTTCCACTGCCTTATGACCCAAGCGCGTAGCGCGCGGGCCATAAGAAAGTGGAAAAAACGAGGATCCATAACTTACGGTACGGACCAAGCAAACGAGGTTAATAAGATATTTATTATATGGTAAGGCATAGAGATTAAAAGAGGCGAAGCAAACAAAATAAAGTTGACAGCGCATGTCAAACGGGAACTGTATTGGAAGGGCTTCCTGTACGTGCCAAAAGTATTGTAGTGTTTGAGTCGCTCAAAAAGAGAAGTTGCAGTTTACTCTTTTGAAAGAATTAAGCTATAGTTTAAGGTTTTCTAAAATACTAGTTAACAAAAGTGAGGCTTTCTTTTGCAAAACATGGAAATGCAAAGCAAAGACCTCAAGAACTCAACTGATGAGATTGAAAAGAAAACTGTCGTACTTCAAACTTCAAGATCTTCACAAACATACTACAGCCTTCCGTTTGTTTTCCTGCCTTTTATCTGAAAAAAACTCAAAAACTCTCTCCACAAATGGATGAGAAGGTTTGGAAAATTACGGCTCGCTCAACATGGATAGTTATGTCAATTTTCAACTTTTTGACTGTTTCAAGCGGGCCGCCATACGTAGTCATGAAGTCATGAAGACGGCACACTTTCGACTCAATTTAAAAAAGGTACTGCCAACTCTCCCGTCTAATTCAAATGTGGATGAAATATTATTAAAATATGGAAATACTTCAAGAGCGGATGAGCCTAGAAAACTGATTAAAATGTTAACGAAAAAAACCACTTGCTTCTTCACCCGATCGATTCAGATAAGTTCAAACTAGACGTTGTAAGCTTACTGAAATAACAAATTTACGTCATTTCTACTTGTAAACCTATCTTTATTTCATTTACTGAATTAGCCGCTATTCACCAACCTTTAGTTCGTAGTTTGAAAGAGTTTTAGTTTTAGCATTTAGGAGTTTTACATTAAATGCCGAGCTCCCGAGCGTAGCCCTATACTTAAGAAAAAATGGTAAACCATCGAGTTGGTTTTTCATGGCTTGGCTGACGTCACTTCCGTCCGTACGTCCGTCCGTCCGTGTACACAAGAATACCTATTGGCTGGTTAGATTTTCTTTTTTTTGGCGGGAATGTCGACGCGTTTCAACATCCGGGTACACATAAAGGTAAATCCGGCTATTAAACCTTTGTAAAAAACGTTTTTACACATGTTATTACGTATAGAAATGCCGAAAGATAACAACACAACAACAGAATTCAGGTGTGTGTTGTTTAGCAAACTAATCGTATATTACTATTTTTTGACAAGCATTTTTTCTCGACGAATCGACAAATCAAAGACTTTCCCTCAAAACATTTGATATTTCTATAGATAAGCTTAATTTATTTTAATGCTGGAGGAAACATAACATGAAGGGCATATTACAACAAATATTCGTCCTTTGTTTAGCTTTGTAAATCATTAACAATTCGGTTGTTTTTAACCAACTGTCATATTTTTTTCGTTCAAGAAAAATTCAGCTTTGTTTGCCTCCTATCGCGGGTCCAATCGGCAAAACAAAGCTGAAGACTTTCATTCAATAATTTTATATCTTTCTACAGATAATTTATTTAATCATTGAATGAAATGTAAAATTACACCAACATTGAACTGTTTATTAAGTTGTTCGAGCTAGCCACAATGATTATACAAATGAGCTTAAATTTGTGTTGTTGAGAGATGATATTGTATAAAGACCTTGTCTTTCACCAAGCTAAAAAATTTTCAAAAACATTTACAGATGCCAATTTACTGACAAAGAAATTAGTCATTTTGTATTTTACATTATTTTCTATTTTGTCTCAGTTGTTCGTGTCAAGTTTAATACTGAATGTAAACTTTGCATTTCGAAAACTTTTGTCGTTCGTGATTTTCGTATCTTTCTCACACATGAAAACAGACATGAAAACTGGTAAAATCGAATCTCAAAATTTAGTAAGCTTAGTTTTCAAGCTTCTCGAAAAGTAGTTAATTGTCATATGAAAGGAATAAAATTATTTCAATGAAGTAATTAAGAAATATTTTTCCTTTTAACTGATGACACATTTGGTTTTAAATGTTCAGGGCCTTTATTTCTCAAGTTTAGTTAGTTGATGATTTTGAGGCAATTTTCTCTCTGATGCTACCAAAGAATTTTTTAAAAATTTTCATTGCGGTAAAAATACATTTAATATAAAAACATCAAAATTCTTATGGTTTTCCAAACATCGTTAT